TACTTATCACTTAACATATCCAAATACTATTTTACTATAATAGGAAAACATATAAAACCACTTTAAAGGTCTATATAAAGCTCTCGAGATCTTAATTTGAAATCTTAATTGCCTGAGATTTATTTACAGATACATATTCATGCACTGATATAGATTCATGTACAGATATACAGATACAGATTTTTCGAGTAGGATGACCGTGTCAGTCCCTACACGTGAGGGTCACAGTTGACACGGTGGCCTTCGTGTGGATTTTTTAAAGGTGGATAACAGATTGTGAATGAAATCGCCATTTGCCGAAAAATCCCCTTGAAATAAACCAATGAGGAAATGTATACATTCGCTGCATTCCGTGACATACATATTTGTGTAAGAAACGGATCCTGTTTGTTTAAAATAGAGGAGCATCCTACCATGCGTTGTGAATTGATGATGTTGAGTTGACAGTTATATCACTGTTGTTACGTGATCTAATTGTATTTGTGTAGTTTTTATGATATTTCTCTGTTAGCCTGATCTCTTTCGGTCGTCATAATGTTTTTTTTCTAATATACTCTGGTACTGAAACATTTCAGACATTTCATTGCGATAGTTAAAATCTTGAAATGGGTACATGATATATCGTCTCACATTGTTGTTCGCCCGTCGTGCTCGGCGATGACCATTTGACATCAGTTTTTACATGGAACACTGTTTCACATGGAGCGTCTAAAACGTACCAAATTCTTATACTCTCATAAAAGTTCGTGTGTTGGTAGTTACCTGTCTAAAGTTAAAACTTTTCATCCAACAAAAAGAATAATTCTCACGTGGAGCTTTCGACCAGTCTCTTCCTGGTCTTCCTCAGTAGACTGACCCAGTATCGTTTATCAGATGTACCTTTGACGTCACACTTCAGAGAAGCCAAGCGACAAGTCTCACTGGGTCAGTCTACTAGGTCTCCAAAGTTTTAATTACAAACATGTACCGAATTCTTGTGATATCTCCTTTTGGACAACTAACACGGCTCTCTTGTGTACTTCTCTTATGTCTTTAGCATGCGACAAACGCCTGACGGGTGACAATGGGACGTTCACCAGCCCAAACTACCCAAACAACTACCCTAACGACAAGGACTGCCGGTACGAGATCTCTGTCACTCCGCCCAAAGTCGTCAGGCTGACCTTCACGGATTTCAACATTGAGGACCCGTATGACGTCCTTTTGGTGTATGATGGAAACACAACTGATGACACGTGGGAGATAGGTGAGGGAAAAAACAATTGTGTTTCAGTAAACTACGGCGTACATGTAAATGGATTATTCTTTCCCTTACTACATACAAAACGCTTCAGTCAGCAAATTCTAGTTTGTAGCACCTCTGTTGTTTGTGATCTGTCTGCCTTTTACAGAAAGGCTTAATGGAGCAAACATCCCCAGTCCAATAACGTCATCTGAGAGCATCATGACTGTTCTATTTCATGCCGACAATAGAGGAAACCGGAAAGGATTTCAGGCCAACTACACAGCCGTAGATAAAGGTACAAGAACTAAACCGTTAAATGTGTAACAATGGTGCTCTCTCCTACATCCGGGACCTCACTGAGTCTCGCACTAAGGTTACAGCCTACACAACATCCGGGACTTTCATCGAGTCTCGCACTACAGTTCTACAGTTGCAACCACTTTAACACCAATGCAATGATATAATCTAAATCAGTAAGGCAGTTGAGATAGGCGATCTGTATAAATGATCAGTTATGTTCAATCAACTCTTTTGCTTCTGATCTCGTCAAAACTCATAGAACAGATTGTTACCTGTTTGCATCATCAAGGTCAACCCATCGCTGACCCGCGTTTGAGTTGGCAACTCGGGCGATACGGAATTACGGAATACATTGCGTTGTATTCTATATACAAAGATATACATACACACACACACACACACATACACACACACACACATACACACACACACACACACACACACACACACACACAC